ACATGCAAACTCCACACAGAAACAACCACTGACCCAACCGAGGCTCGAACCAGCAACCTTCTTGCTGTGAGGCGATAGCACTACCTACTGCTCCACCCCGTCACCCTTGTTTGCTTTCTTATTTTCAGATAATAAAATTATATTTAAATAATGACTAAATACTTGCGAAAAAAAACCCTGGAAAATATGGTTTGGTATTAGTAAATTTACAATTGTTACAAGTCAAATAAATAAAATTCATAACAAAACAAAACAAGCATTTCTTTTAGTAGAGACAGATTAATTCATTCGGCCATTCATTTTCTTTCCAGTTTAGTCCTTTTATTAATTTGGGGTCGCCACAGCAGAATGAACCGCCAACTTATCCAGCATGTTTTACGCAGCAGATGCCCTTCCTCTGGAGCACCCGGAGGAAACCCACGCGAACACGGGGAGAACATGCAAACTCCACACAGAAATGCCAACGGACCCCGCCAGGGCTCGAACCAACGATCTTCTTGCTGTGACGCGATTGTGCTACCCACTGCGCCACCATGCTGCCCAGACAGATTAAAAATAACCAAAAATAATATCTGTAAAATTAACAGAAAAATCTTGTTAAATTATTATTATTAAAGGATCTAATATGTTTCCAAAATTGTACAACACAATTACAATCCCAAAATAAATTAAAAACAGTTTTATTTCACATTGACCAAATGAACATTTAACAGATGCAAGCTGAGATCTCAGACACAATGCACTCAATAGAGTGATTGACGTCACTTTGATGGGCAGGGTTAGGCGAATGCAGTAAAAAACATTGGATGCAGATCAGATTGCGCTGCACCAGGTCTGCATCCAGACCCCTCTCTGAATATTAGAATTAAACTTTTTCATAAGTTGTTTAATAGGGTAAAATTTATTGATTAATTTAAAAGACTTGTTTGACCTTATTGGTGAGAAAATATTTTTGTTGCAAAAACCATATTTTTTCTATTTCAAATCTTAATATATTATTCCAACAATCAACGGGACACCAGTGGAGAGAATAAACACTTTCTAGTTTCCCTGAGTACACATTGCTGAGGATTTGACATGGATTGCCCACACAGACGCAGTGCTGAGGAAGGCACAACAATGCCTCTTCTTCCTCAGGCGTCTTAGAAGGTTTGCAGTGACCCCCCACATCCTCCGCTCATTCTACACCTGCACTGTGGAGAGCATCCTGTCTGGCTGCATCACCACCTGGTATGGAAATAGCAGCAATCGCAAAGGCCTACATTGTGCAAACTGCTGGACGGGTAGTTGGAGGTGAGCTTCCCTCCCTCTAGGACATCTACACCAGGCGATGCATGAGGAAAGCCAAGAGAATTATCAGCGACTCCAGCCACCCAAGCCATAGACTTTTCTCTCTTCTACCCTCAGGCAGACGGTTCCGCAGCATCCGGTCACGCACTAGCCGGCTAAAGGACAGTTTCTTTCCTCAGACTATCAGGCTGATGAACACTTAACACACCCCACACAGACTCTTCCATACCCCCACTACACACCATCAATATTTAGCATGCACTGCACTTTAACCAATCTTATTTTGTACTGTCTGGAGCCAGCACCTAAGCTTTTCACTCATCATAGCACACGTGCTGCTGATGATGTGACAATAAAAAGTGATTTGATTTGATAAGAGATTGCAGGTTCAGGCAAGATGTCCTTGCTGCAGTCTCTATCACGATGACATAGTGGACCTGGTCCAATACGTAGTGGACCTTGCTCAAGGTAACGCGTACACTACTATGACGGTTGGGTTTAGGATTGGGGGAGGTGTGGATTTTAATGGATCTTCTCCATTACATAGTGGATCTCTCACTGTCTCACTTCAGGAGGAGGGGGATTTGTCCAGGGATAGGAAGCACCTGGGAGAGAGAGTAAAGGGTTTCAAAAGAACTAAGTGAAATTCTGTGTGAATGCAGTACCAGATGGGAAATTGATGCTGAGATGACATCATTAATCTACTTCTGTATAGTGAATAGCAATATAAGGTTCTACAATAGCTCTATATAATCTAATAGCTCTATCTTGGACCAATATAGCAAGGACTCAGTTTCTTGCAGGGTAGGTGGAGGCACATCAGATCCTGAGTGAAGAGCCAGACTTTATTACCAAGTGGATAATTTGGAATCTGTTCTTCGGGGATCTGTGAACCTCTTGTTCAGCATGCTGGAGAATGATGCGAGCTGAGTCTCGCTCTCATTTGCTTGCTCTTTACCAATAGTCCACAGCTGGAACATTAACTGGTTCTTCAGCCCATAGTGGCTGGATGCTGAATACACACTGAAATAGGGTCCAGCTGGTGGTCTCTTGCCGGAAAAAGCATACTCCTCATTGCCCACGGGAGGAAACAGCTTCAGCTGTGATGGTCATCATGGCAGTAATGACCAAAGGTAACATCTCGGGGGGGTCCTATGTTTCTGAAGGAATAGATTTTCTGGTGTTTCTAGAAACTTTGTGAATGCTTTTCCTATGTGAATTTCTTGTAACTTATTCCTTGTTTTTTTTATTGTTGTCGTTTTTTTTTATTGTTTTTTAAGTGTAGTTAATATTGTGATCATCTGTATTTTTGTATGTTATGTGCTGTACAATAAAAATATTATTATAGAAAATAAAAACAATTAGTGATGTCCTTTCTTTTTCAATCTGCCGTTTTTTTGTATTCATTTACTGAATCCTATAATGTGGATATATTGCTGGTTACATTTCTGTAGAACAAACTGAATAGTTTTTATTTAAAAATGACACAAAAATAAATAATTTAAAAGTTCAGCCTAATTTGCTCTCTTCCACTCAAGTTATACAACAACTGCTCTAACTGTTCAAGAAAGGAGCAAAGATGAAAATAAAAACTAATAAAGGGATTTTAAAAAATGCTTTAATGCATTGGCCATTTGTTTTAGTAGGTTCTGCAAATCATAACCTAAATTATTAGCAAGTTCTAGAGAGACTGCATTTAAAATCTATATATTGCCATCAAAGTCAAGGACTGATTTACATTAATGACCCCAAAACACTTACAATTGATTTCAGGTGTTATATTAATAATCTATTAAATATGTACAGGTTTTGCGTGAGACAAAAGGGTAGTCATTTTTTCAAAGTTGACATTCACACAATTTGGACTTGACTTGTTATACTTGTTCTGAAGTGTTTTGCATAGTCCCTTATAACATAAACCTCAAAATATATTTTACAATAACATTGCTTTTACCATTGACTAGACCATGACAGATCTGTGCTTTACAAGCATCTTTTTCTACCTCAAAATCTGCTGACACTGAACTGTATGTCTTTAAAACATACAAGTTCATAACATTATTATGAATACAAAATTCATTGCATCAATTCGTATGTTTGTTGCACTTTTTAAGAGAGGACAAAACTTAAATATAATCTATACAATATTATGTAGCTAATGTGAAATTTATCATGGATAAAATACAAAAATGATAACAAAATAATAAAACTTGTTTATCTACTGCTAGTACCTACTACATTCAGTTGACACAGTGGATGCAGTTTACATTGTGACTGAACTTCTAGTTGACATTACTTTTAACGAGATATCAAAGTTATAAACACATTTTTTATTTATTTATTAAAAACAAGAAAGTTGATGCATTTAGATCTCCAAAGTAGGACCTGCTGTGCTGGCTAATGTTGGCCCATGGTAACCTTTGATTTGTCTCGCCAACCCATTTGAGAAGAAAGGGAGAATTGAGGAGGGTTCTGAGATTGTCATTTAAAATTAAATGTAACCCTTTGTTTGTTTGTTTATTTGTTTTATTGTTAAAGCCTAACTGAAATTGAATGTTTCAATTAAATGGTGTAAATTACTCAGATTTTGTTTAAATGTGCATACTGTCACCCGGCAATGCAGAGATTTTGGTGAGCAAATCAAATCAAAGGCAAATTGTGCTTGACTTCTGTATTCATATTCATTTAAGTTTTATTGCAATAATGTTTTCTTTTAAAAATGTATACTGCATTAGTTAATACAATTTAATGTAACATTTATTTTGTACACAAAGTAACAATTATTTGGAAATATTATGAAACAAATCACTCATGGCAACTTTAATGTAATGTAGTTTGGTATATTTACCATCGGCCACGGCTCTCAGTGATGTTTGGTTTTAGGCCCTTCTTACGAAAATGTTTAGGCACCACTGGTCTTGTAGCATACGAGCTTTATTCTAGAATATTCTGACAGATGGCGCTCTACAATAAGGATTTGCTGTCTGAAACGCAGCTAGAACTTTCCACCTCCGTTTCGTCCTTGGGGCAAAATCCACATCTGAGCAAACGTAACAGAACACGCCTATAACACAAATACATAATTAAATACAATTAGCATCACAGGTGGGCGCAATTAATTTCTATAATTTAATGTACAGGTATCTGGTAATATGATTGTGCCTCTGTGCAGTAACTTACTTTTCTGCTGGCGTAAGCATTTCAGTAATTTCCTGCAGGGTAGTCGAGGCACTGGTGAGAGGGGTACATAACTTACGTGCATTCTGATATTTTCTCCGTGTTCAGAAGTGGGACTAAAATAAACGTAGGTTGTACCTTTCAGTTATTGTGTGGCAAGCCAATTAGAGTTTGTTTCATAAAAGGAAACGACAATGTTGGAGCGGAACACCTACATAACTGACTTGAAATCTGATATAAAATATTGGAACTTGGCTCATTTCTGTAGACACGTGACCGTGGAACAAAACGTAGTCCGACTGTGTATTAGTGCGCTCGCAGTAACCCTAACATTAGATAGTTGATATATTACTTAATTTAACGCCATGTCAGCTCAACAAGAATGCTTTAAAATAAGTATATTTATATACTAGGATGCAAAAACATATTTGTTGTTGACATAAAATGAAATAGCCGTAGAACTATTTGCCAATGCGGATGAATATGTCGTCCGAACGTCATCTTTTTTCAATGGGAAGCCATGATGGAAGTTTGAGAGTGTAACAGGCAGTGGAGCAGTGGAGGATAAGGACAGAACCGGAGGTGTCTCTTACGCCACATTTAAATATCGAGTTTTTCATTTCTTGGTGGAGGCTGTCACATTTTGTTTCATGTGTTGGAACCTGGTCATCGCGGATTGTCGTAGAGTTTAATGGCTTTTATTTTCTAAGGATGTGTAGACGGGCTAGCGCGTTAGCCGTTGAGGCTAGACGGAGCGCGAGCTGAGTGCGAGCGGGGCTCTGACGACCGATCTTCAAGTGGAAGCACCGGAGAGGATTTTCTCTCCGCCTTTCCGCTCAATCACGGCGGCTTCGGTGCGACCAGAGACTTGTCGTGCACTAGAGATTCTGCAGTTCCAGACGTGGGAAGTTGCTTATCTTTTCACCCAGGGCTCGTCTGAGCCGAGGAGGGCATTTTGGAAGCCGGGCCTGTGGTGGTTTGGAGCGAGGCCCTTGATGAGTGAGCCACAGCAGACTCCATTCTAGCTAGCTGGGGGACTGCGAAACGAGCAGAGCATAAAGACGACCGACCGTCCGAAAGCAACAATACTCTCTCTCACACTAAAAACCCTAAAGACTCCTGTCACAGCCATGGCTGCGATCATAAAGGAATTTGTCAGTAGAAATAAAAGGAGATACCAAGAAGACGGGTTCGACTTGGACTTGACATGTATCCTCTTTGATCAATCAAATGTCCCTGTTCTGTCTATTGTGTTGAAACCAGTGTCGGCAATGAAGGTAACGGCTTGCATCTTGTTCCAAATCAAGAAATCTCTGACGTCCCGTCCGAATATAAAAAGCTATGAGCATTTATTTACATTTTTTGCTTTTCCCTTTTTATAGGAACTATTGACTGAGTCCCCGATTGTACATGATGTGATCTAGATCAGTTGGTTTCTGTTCCTGCATCAGCTCAACGCCGTTTAGATTAATGTCAGTTGTTAATTTATCCACGTTATCGAGCCGTCGTTTCATTTATACGGTTATTTTAGGCTTGTCTGCAAGTTACATGTGACGACTACAATATAAGCAACTCCAGTGAGGTCATAAAATGTCATTTTCCTCATTTTACGTAATCTGATCTATCGATTGACCGCTAATCTGCAATCTAACTCCCAAAATGTTTACATTTCAGATCAAGACAGTTTGGGGGTTAATAACAAAAGACGCGTCGCAGGTTTATATAATGCGATGGATTAGATGAAATGCACAAGCAGTGTCACACAAAGAGCATTGCATCAGCTGCTCGCAGAAAATAGATGCTTGCGCTCAACTTGTAGTTTTGATTGACCAAAAAAAAAAAAAAAAACAAGTCCGTTCACACGCAGGCGAACAAAAGGAAATGCTTTAGTATGTGAAATATGCCTTTTTGTAATCGCAGGAAGGGATTCGTGCAGTGCAGCGCTTTATATTAGAAGCGTCATTGACGTTTGTTCCCCCGTTTGTGCAATATGTCAACGTCATTTGACAATTTCAAGCACAGGTATTGTATGCATATACGTTATTTGGCTTGTGATCGTTGCTTTCAGGCAGTAGCTTTATATCCTGGTTGATGAAGTGTTAAAGCACGAGAGGTCTGGTTTTATTTCAGCAGGTTTCAGTGTTATTGAAGATCCTTTTGATGGAGCTTTACCGCCAAGTCTGATGTTTATCTACAGTCCATTGTCCTTTTATATAACTCTTAGCTGTTCTGTAATATAAACTCGCATATAAGATTAATTTATATATAAGAATAATATTTATATATAAGACATTAACAAAGACTAGAAGGATAGATAGAGGGCAGGATCAATACATTCAAGATGAGCAATAAATTCACTTTTCAATAGCATTAAGAGTATGCCATGCCTTTGCATGTTTTGATAATCGTTCAATTTTTAGCATATGCATACATTGAACAAGGTCTAGTGTATTACATGAGCCATCCTGTAAATGAATTGATCGCATGGACATTGATTTGCCCCAGCCTGCTCAGATGGTGTGTGGGTCACTATATTGACCCATTGCATTGCATCATGCAATGCACTTATTGCGTTTAAAACACACTGTCAGGAATAAATTTTAAGAATGACTTCATTCTTTCAGTCCACTTTTGCTATAATGATAAAGCAATGCTATCTATGGCAAAGATCAGTGAGAATACACACTTTTAACTTTACAATTCTTATCACACATCAGAAAGATCGTTAACTAGACATACACATTTAATCTGTCTAAGATCAGTGAGAATATATACTTTTCACTTTACAATTCTTATCATAGATCAGGAACGAATGCAAACTAGACATACACTATCTTTTTTTTACTTTAAAATATGTAAAGTTAGTCTAGATTACACTAAAATCAGTATAGAGAGTTTCAAGATGAAGAAAACTGGCCTTACTAACACTAGACCGCTATTGTTCTTGCATGTACACAGCGCTGAACCAAAAAGGTTTAAATTCAGCATTCTGTTTGATCCCTTTATATCAATAATTGGTTAATTTAGAGTTGTTTTTATTTTAAATTTAAAGAATGTTTGAGCTTTTATGCTAATATACTTTATAGTGTGCCATGAATTAATTGCAATCTTAAATTTCCCATTGATTCCTGTAAGACTTTAACATCTCATTAAAGATAGCTGAGGTTGTGTAGGTAGTAAGTTGGCAGCTCAACAATATAACATGCAGAACTTTGTATTATGTTAGTGATGTAAAGTGAATGGCTCTCCAACTTTGAGTCTCACACTTTTTTGTTTATAACCATATCTGTTGTGGCTAGTGTAGGGTACAATGGTTGCTTCATTCAGTGCAGTTTTCTTTTTTTTTCAGTGTTATGTGTGGAATGTATGTTAAGAGATACAGACTCTTTCATTTGTTGGCAAGAAAGTTATTCTGATTTAAAGTTTGATAGTATTGTGCATATCTTTGAAAGCTAGATAACTTGGGAATGTGTGTTTTGATATTTGGTCTAGCAATTTATATAGGAACGTTTTTGCGTGTTTGATAAGGCGCTTGAATTTACTAAAGTTCTTTGCGTTTCAGACTTTTTGAATCAAATAATCCTTTTGGCCCCTGAACCATTAACAAATAGCATACGCTGCAAGTCTAAAGATAACATTTATGAATATATGAATTTTATTGTTTTATGAGCTGTTCTTTAACATACTCTGCTTTATGTTTTAAGCATTGTTTCAATTCTTGCATAATTGTAAAAGCACTTTTTTTCTGAATTCCGCCAGTTTTAAAAGTTTTATGCCTTTTGAAAGTCCTTCAAAGAATCACACAGTCCCAGAGCTCACACACATGTCGTCAAAATGGTTCTTTTGCTGAAATGTGAAGTTTGCCAGATCAGGAGTGAGAACCGCATTCTGCCACACCATTCGAGAACACAGGAAGTCCAGATGTTTCTTTTTTCATGAGCTTTTTGTCAGAAACCATCATAGTTTAATTGTTGACGATAAATTGTAAGAAAATAAGTTATATTGGCAATATATTTGATACAAAAAGTGATTCTAATAGACGTGTATATTTTAGTTTTCTTACACTATTAAATGAATCATTCTAAGAATTAAAGTCATAACTTGGATTTTTGTACTTTCATACTTTAAAAAAAAAAATGGACATGGATAGAATAGCTTTGCAACTAGTCATTAGTTTATTTTATTTGGTCTTAGATTGTAAATATCTGCATGTGTATGTTAGCCCGAAAGAGTGATGCACTGGTTATGGAAAGGTGAGGAAGGAAAGTGATTCCAGGCTGGGCTGAGGCACAGTGTGATTTATTTAGTGCCCCTGTGTGGCCCTCTGGGTTAGAGGTCTATGCATTGGTCTCTTGCAGCGAGAGCCATCTGTTCTATATTACCCAGAATCCTGTTATCTGAGCTCTCATTGCTCAACTAAAAAGAAAAGCGCTGCTTTAGTGGAAATGCTGAAGTTCTCCGTTGAAACCGAGGCTTGATGTTTGTTGGTTTTCCTGCTCCTTGTGGCGTCATTTGACTGCACTGCATTGTTCACCAACCTTGCCTCAGAGTTTTGGATGCAATTTAAGACAAGCATCCGGTGGACTTTACATGTGTATTCATGTTTAATCAGATGTTATGTAGTTTTGTTTTCCTGTTCATATCAACTTTTCTAGATTTCCTTAACGCTGCTGTACAGACATTTATCCTAACATAATAGCTATGGGTTTCCCTGCTGAAAGACTGGAGGGTGTATATAGAAACAACATAGATGATGTAGTGAGGTAAGTATTCACTTTGTTCTTGCTAGAGATTTTGTCAGGATAACCATTTTGTGTTTGTGTGCCACTTCACATTTACAACCCATGTTGCAACCCCCACCAAAAAAAAAAAAAAAAAAAGCTGCTGTGATATTTACAGCCATGTCGAACTGGACCTGCCAGATAATGTTCCATTCCATTGACTCTTGCTGTTTTATCAGTTTGTGGTAGTTGAGTATTTGTGATGTAAAATGCTGGATAGTAAATATAACTGACTGTGTTGCATAAAAGGGGTCTTTTTTGGTTAAAGTAATATTTTATTTTATCTTTATTTTATGTTTAAAAAAAACATTGTTTTTTTTTTAGCAATTTCGACACCCCATCCCCAAATCAATTCATTTATATGCATGCATTTAGCATATCTTTTAATCCAAAGTGGTTTGTCTTAAGCGGGAATCGTATATCAAAATAGTGTGGGAAATTGTGTTGAATGGAGGCGGATATCTTTATGTTGGTCCAAACCCATTAGACTTTGATTTGTCTTTTAAACGCAAATGAAGGTATTTTATCAGCCCTGAGAAATTTCTGTTTCTCAATTGAAAGTCCTTACCATCCAAGCTTTTACTAATTGTAAAATTTATTAGACCAATTCCAGCGTTATGGATGTGACATTTGCAGTAAAAATTCAAAACATAAGTTCACTGAGAAAGTATATGTTAACATTCTATTGAAATACCTGTTTATATTTTCCAAAGCAACTAACCACAGAGTTATGGGATCATAAAAATATCAATCTGTAAACAACTTTTAGGTTTTCAAATGAGGGAAATAAGCATGTGTTATGGATGTCACCAAAAAGGAGTTTACAGTATGAGACTTGCTTTGTAGAAATTCTCTGAATTAAACTGCACAACCCAAAAGAAACAATGCTAATCTAAAGAATAAAAGTTTTCACATGATTGATTTTATTTTGTTTAACATTTTTGCAATCATGACGAAAAAAAACTTTCATCATGGATGTGACATCTCTCTGGTATGGATGTGACATGTGAAATTGTGGGACTTTGGGAAATCAAATATAATTGTTTGAAAACATTAACAAACATTTTTGAGTATCTTTACGGTAGTGTAAAATACTTGCGTACACAAAAAAAAAAAACAAAGTAAGGGTTTTATTATTTTGGTGAAAACTTTTTTCATTTCAAGGTTGACATTTGCATGTAATTGCTCATTAATTGATTAGGGATATGTATGGCTGTGCGATTTAGCCCGAAAATCTTATCATTTTAACTCTATTACGAATAATGAACAATAATTTATTCCATTACTTGATTTTAAAATAATTAGAGGAAACATACACTATCTACCATCTATTATTATTTATTAAACATCAACGTTAATCACACACACATTTACTGAAACCAACAGGAATATAATAAACTTTTTTCATATTAAAAGTAAATACAAAATATCTCTTCTAAATAAAATAACTCGTCTATAAATCTTCTGTAAACAAATATTTTAATCTAAGAAATATTTTTAATGTAATGGAAAATTTGCCATCTCAGGACATCTCTGGTTCAGCTTCCAACCATCGTCAGTGTAGTGCAAAGTAAGCCTCAAGAATGGGTCCATCATCCTACTTGACCAGAGATCAGATGTGGCTGCAAAAGTATAAATCAGCCTTAACAGAGTGGTGAAACATGATGCCACGTGGTAAGAAAAGTAACTGAAACATTCGTCCTGGAAAAATTAAATCAATTATAGGTTCTGAAAGTCTTTTCGATGAATCGCACCAAACCCTCAGGATAAGTAATCCCAGAGGCTGCATTATTCTTTTTTTAATTCATTTTTTATTTGGAACAAACCAGTCTGATCCTGATGCTAAAATGAGTGTTTGCTGATAATCGATTTAATACCAATTTTTTTTTTATCTGTCTTTATTTAAGCTATCTCATGCTGTTTGTGTTAGAAAATACTGTCGTGAAAAACAATCATCTTTAGTTAAGTCATACAGGATATGTTTAAGTTAAGACATTAAACTGTTTACTGCAGTGTTTTATTAAGACAAGCGTATGTTAAATAGGGCAGAAATAGACTAGTAGACTATGAGTTATCTTTTGCTCTGCAAGTGTATTATATATTAAAGGCTTGAGTTCAGAGCTGCACAAAGCGCTTTTGCACATCCCGTGCACAGAATGATGCGCTTGAAGTAACATCAAGTCACAGCGTGTGGTGCTTCCCATTGTAAAGTTCAAAAGCAAAAAGGGAAGAAATACCAATGCATAGCGTATGATATTTTGCCACAGCCAGAGCCTTTTCTTTTAACCACTTTAAGTTTCAATTTATAGTCTTTTCTACTCATGCATTATCTAACAGACACCTGGTAGCAAGTAACACGAGTTAAAAACCACAATAAACCCCAACAAGATAAAGTACCTTTTATGCAAAACCATAGAACTTTATCTACAAATTAAATACAATAATGAGAACACGCAATGAACACAGATAGAAGTTCACATTAACTTTTTTTCATCTTTACTCCTTTCTGTCGATTCCCAATGCAAAGAATGACAGCATAGTAAAATTGAAAATTGAGTGTTGTAGCTTTGCAGATAATAAAAATTCAAATTTTTGTTTCCAAAACACCTGGTATTTTGTTTTAAAAGCTTTGTTCACAAAAAATTGAAAATTATATCATGAATTACTCTCAAACCACTGAGACCTTCATTCATCTATAGAACTCAAAGATATTTTAAATGAAATCTAAGAGCTTCCTTATCCTCCACAAACAGCAAAGTCCAAGAAAATACCTAAAAACTGAGCATATGCATTATATGCCTCAATCGAAATATTAGCAAGCTTTGAAAATACATTTGTACACGTATAAATTGAAAATAACAACTTTATTGAACATTTTCTTTTTCTCAGTGTCAGTATAGGGCAATTTGTTAGGTCACATCCGTGTACAGTGCCAATAAACATGCACAATATACTGACACTGAGGACAAGAATCTTTGACTAATGTTTTTTTTTTTTTTTTTTTTGTGCACAAAAGGATTCTCATAGCTTGTTAAAATTCTAGTTGAACTGCTGAAGGCATATGGTCTGTTTTGAAGAAATTTTTGGTACCTTTCTGGATTTCAAGGTTTTCTTTTTGAAAGTGGTCAATGGAGCTTGCTGTCAATGCAGGACGAGGGAGCTGTCAGATTTCATATCGTAATTTATATTCCAAAGATGATTGAATGTCTTGGGGGTAGGGTTGAAGGATAAATCAGTTGAGTAGCGATATTGCAATGCATGTATCTGCAATAGTCACATCGCAGGATTGGATTATTTAAAACAAATAAAGATATTATTAAATACTATTATTGTTAAATGGTTTATACATACCATGTTATTTTACATTAAATTGTTAAATTTTTGTACCTGAATACTGCTAGACCCCCCCACACCCCCAAAAAAGGCTCTACTTCTTTCAATATAGCTAAATTGTTCCAGCCTGGCTGCTGTCATTTCTTTGCTTAAATGCCCAAATCTGTGCAGTAGTGATCGTAAGTGGCAGGAGCACAAAACAAAAATCTCACTGAAAGCGCACAGCTAATTTGTATAGCAGCATGTAACTCAATGAATATATTAGAAAAATGAACATCTGAATGTACATAAAATGGCAAGTCCTCTCTGGGAACAAGTGATTAGAAGTGTGATTTGATTTGTTTTGAGTAGAACACTCATCCGATTCAGGACAGATATCCCGCCACCAAGGACACACAATGTTTTGACTTCACTTTTTTTAGGATGTGTGGTGCACATATGCTTTTGAATAATATAAAACAAACTTAACTTATCATATTACATTCTTTAAGGCAGGGTTGCCCAAACTTTTTTTGAGAAAGGGCCAAAAACCAAACTTGTTTGATGCTAATGGGCTGAATGTAAATAGAATCGCCTTGGGTAATTTAAAAATGTATTTAAAAGAATTAAATATTACTAGAAAACATTGCTTTATATTAAATAATACAGTATAATTTTTTTACATTTTATAATGAAGTTACTACCGTAAAAACTACTAATTTATAACAGAATTGAGTTACAGTAGTTTTTGCCTTGATTTGCTTACTGATGTCTTCGGCTTAGTCCTTATGTACATTTTAATTATTTGAGTTTAATTAGCTTTTTTGTAGCTCAGCAATAAAACAACCCTCTCCATCACTTTACCCTCTTCCAAGATGGGATGGTGAGCCAAATCAAATGTTACAATGGGCCAACTTTGGCCCGCAGGCCCTACTTTGGGCATCTCCGATTTAAGGCAAGCACTTCTTGCACATGCATGCTGTTGCAGGCATATACTCAACACATATCGGCAAGGCATATTAGCGTGATTTTTTCAAATGTACATTTTGAGACATAGTTGACCAATGCTGATGATGTTCCATTTCCTGTAATATTGTGGATCCCTAAAAGTAATGGTGTAAAATAAAATTTTGTTTAAAAGAAATTGTATTGTTACATCCATAGCTAACTTTTAAAAGCAAATCAGTTTTAATCTTCTGAAGAGACATGAAGTTATAAATTAAGGATTTTATTAACATATAACAATTGATCATCTGACATATGTTGTAAATATTGTAAACTTGACTCTCAATTGTACTTGATTGACGTGAGAATTAATGAGGCTTGGTCTCATGTCCCACTAGCACATTTGATCTTCCATATGAACCAGTAAGGTGTTAATCAGTATTTGTAAGTGAATAAAAACCTAAATGAAATCTGTCCATCAAGTCCATTTCAGGAGACTTGCTTTAAAGCACTTGATTCGGATTGATTACATTTAAGCATAACTATTTTGAAGGACTTTCAATGAAAGAACAGAAATCCAGTTCCATTAAAATACCTTCATTTGTTTTTTTTTGTTTTTTTGTTGAGCTTTTGTTGGATGAACTATTCCTTTAATTAAAATCTATAACATGCTTTTGTTCTATCTTGTTTTGCAGGTTTCTTGATTCAAAGCATAAAGATCATTACAAGATATATAACCTGTAAGTGTGTTTCAAAAACTTCAGTTCTGTGATATCGGTTTTGTAAATGGGTTTCATCAAACTGCTTTTACTGCTAGAATGTTCTGAAAGCTGCAATCATGTTCACTTGAAGATTAAGGCGGCTGTTTGATCGTTGTGAATGGAGGGCTTTGTCATTGCACATAGATCCCTTACTTAACTCCGATTGTTCTGTTGGTTTTGGCATTGGTGCAAAGTTCTAAGCAGAAAAGTATTATGTTGAACTTGTGTACTTATCTGCTTTACTTTGTGTTGTTTAGATGTGCAGAAAGACATTACGATACTGCCAAATTTAACTGCAGAGGTAAGAGGCTTGGATTGCATAAATGTCAGTTTTTGTGTGGTAACGTTGATGGTCTCTCAATGATCTCTTTATTTATCTTTTGCAGTTGCACAGTATCCATTTGAGGATCACAATCCTCCTCAGCTAGAGCTCATTAAACCTTTCTGTGAAGATTTGGATAAATGGCTCAGTGAAAATGACAATCATGTGGCTGCCATTCACTGCAAAGCTGGAAAGGGAAGAACGGGTGTCATGATTTGTGCGTACTTGTTACACCGAGGCAAATTCAAAAAAGCACAAGAGGCTCTGGACTTCTACGATGAAGTTAGGACCAGAGACAAGAAGGTGAGAAATATATATGAACATATTTCTGCTTTGCATTTTGTTTTTAAAAAAGTTGATATGCAGATTTTGTATACAAATGTGAAGCCCAAAATAGTTTCAGATTTTGATTAGCTAGCGCAGTGTTCCCCAACCCCGATGGACGGTACCTGTCTGTGGATTAATTGGTATCCACACAACAAAAATCATTAATTTTCTGTTTTATTTATTATCTGAGTCTGAGTAAATTATTATTATTATTATTATTGTTATTGTTATTATTATTATTTTTAAATATTATTATTTGTTATTCTGAAAAATCTTTTATTTAGAAAAATTACCTCTGTTACATCTTGGTCGCTTGGTCACAAATTTAATTCACAAGCTACCAAAAAAAAAAAAAACAGACGTTTCTTTGTGAATGGGAAAAGGTCCAGTGAAGGACCGACAAACTGCAAAGGAGTGGATCCACAAGCTATTCGTCAACAAATTAGGGTAATCCAGCATGTCTTTGCAAGAAGATCAGCTGCTAGAGATTGCAAATGATGGTGGCTTTTTTTTATTTTTAATTTAATTTTTTTTTAAATACGCATGCAAGTTCATAATTTCCTGTCGAGGCATGCAGCGCAAACGGCGTTGCGCTTGTGCTTTTCAGGCGCACCCGGTTGAAAACATTTTTCAGAATGCCATGTCAACGCCAAGTCACGTGAACAATCAGCTTCATACTTGAATTCATACGTAATATACACATCTCGTTTGACTAACTATATTATATACAAACACAGAGCCCCCAAACCCTGCTGTGCTTTTAAATTTTCTACCTTAATATAACTTATATCAGTATTGCAGCAATGTTTTGTTAACTTGTCATCCTCTGAGAAAATGTTTGTTCATCTAGCAATCTATGAAGAACTAAAACCCACCCCTGGTATCCATTAAAATTAGTCACACTTTATTTTGATGGTCTGCTTGTTGAATTTGTTTCATTGCATCTACATGCTAACTAATTCTCATTAGATTATAAGTAGACTGTTAGGGTTAGTGTAAGTTAACATGTACTTAGTAGTCAGTTACGTTTCTGTTAAAGGAGCATATTAACATATATTAAGCAGACTGTCTACTAGGGGTGTAACGATTTATCGTTGTACGATTTATTGCGATGCAAAAATGTCACAATATGCATCGTGGCGTTATGACGATTTGATTACGATATGACGTCTGTTTTCTCTTATTAGTTGAGCTGTTTGCACGTGAGCTACGTTCCACCTGCTGTCGCACGTGAGTTCAGATTGCAGCAGCAGTAATGTTAGCAGACCAAGATGAGTGGAGCTGAAATATGGCCAATCCTCTCAAAATCAGACGTCTGGCAACATTTCAGTTGTACAGTCATTGCTTTAGACTCGTCCGCTTTTTGACACGTTTACTGGGTCAAACATCCTAAGTTTTGAAGTCTTCACAGTGATTTACATACTTTGCACAGCGACATGAATACCTCCTAATGGTGTTGAAAGAGTCACATACTGTATTTATAGGGTACAATTCACCCTAAAATATCATTCTGTCTTCATATAATGTTCCCGCCGCAAAATCACACGACGTGAGCTTACCGTGAGCTGTTACTACAGAGGGCGGACTTTGATAGACGCGCGCGTATGGCAAGCCGTTTTAGCATTTAAACCATTGTTCTGAATATCCATAAAACTCAACTAACTGTAAAACATATTTTACTGGACTGTCCTGCTTTTACTGATTCCAGAAGGACTTTTCATGAAATGAACTCTTTCAAGGACATTTTTGACAAAGTGAAACCAGAAAAGATTTTAGAATTTTTATCATGTATTAACACAAAAAATCTTTTTTAATTTAGGTTTTATTTTGTTTGTTAATTTTAAAATTGTATATTTATTGTTGAAAGCCTTGGTTGCTGACATGGCACTAAATAAAAAATACATTACATTACATGACTATCCATAAATATATTTAGAGAGATCTCTAATTATATTTTGACTAGTCATAATTATAATTCAACTAGCCAGAATGACAATTAGAGATATCTGCAATTACAATTGTACTAGTACGAAATCAGATTGGAGATATCTGCAAATATATTATGACTAGTCATATTCCTCCATTGACTTCCATTGAAAAATATTTGCAGATGTCTCTAAATGAGTTTTGACTAGTCACAATTGTAATTAGAGATATCTCTAAATGAATTTAATCAAATATGAATAAAATATATTTATGGATAATCAGAACAAAGGTTTAAATGCTAAAACGGCTTGCCATACGCGCGCGTCTGCTTCAGTGAACAGAACCTGCAGGTTGTAACTAACAGGTAATAAGTAGTAAACAACATTCAGTTTGTGGATCAGAGTGATCATTTAGGAGCCACGTGGGAAGTATGAACAGCACTTAGAAGTGGAAATGAAACCGAAAACGCACACATTATTTAAACAATCATATCGCATTTTAGAGTTATGATTACGATGAGCATTAAGCCTTTTGAGTACAGAGGTACACAAAAATGCACGTCAACATGATATACTTGATAGCGTCGACCCCAGCGACGCCGAAGAAATAGTAAACCTGCCTGAACTGCTGAAAAGGGCCACGACTATACTGTGTAATGAAAAGACGGCCACCCTGTCACTCAACATGCCCAACATGAAAACAGCCATCCATAAAAACCTCTCAGACAGATACACATAAGTTCAGGATTATCTTATAGAACTGCTGATTACCTGGAAATGTGGATTTTTTTTTTTTTTTTGCACACACAAAAAAACGCAAGTGACCAAGAAAAGCCTTAAGCTCTTACTGTTAAATTCAATTTAATAGAAAGCTTATTTTTTTTTGCACCTTTACTTAAATTGTTCCTTAATTTTGTCTCTGTCATTTCAATAATATTTTTTAAGAAGTTTTTAAATTGTTTTATTTTCCAGAGACAGTCCTGTTTAATTTATTTTCTTAAAGAAGGTTCAGTTTAACAAGTTGAAACAAAAGTAATACATAAAAAATAGTTTACTTGGTAAAATTGGCATTTCAGTTTAATTTTCAATTTTTATTCCAAATATCGTGATACATAACGTAACATAATTGTGAACATTATATCGTGATACACATCGTAGCTAGCCTATAACATACAACGTATCCTCAAAGTACATGTGAAATAAGATTTTACAATGTTTATTGTGCTTGAACGTGGTTTTCTTTAGGTGAACAATTAATTTATGCAAGTTAATCCACAAAAAAAATGTTTTGTTAATCTTTTATCAAATTTTGATTATTTGCTTTTATGTTTGGAGTGGCAGTCCTTCTCTGATGTCAGTTTCACTGCTTCAGCCATGATAGTTTTAAGGCCTCTCTTAGCATTAGTTTGTCATGAGGGTATAGTGCGCAAAAAGAAAGCCTATATATTTAGTTTTAGCCATTGTTCGTATACATTTTTGGGGGGGATAGATTTTCACGTGTATAATTTAACAATTTTTTAATAAGTTTGAAACCACGTCATCACGCTTATCTGAGTTCAGATTTCTGTAGTCGTGATGTCAGAATTATTGAGGGCAGCTGGCTCCCTCTGTATACCCTGTGGGTTTTGATAGTTTTCTTTAATTGTTAATGTTTTTTTATGAACAAAACAAAGTCTGTGGTTAACAATTTAATACATTGACTTGTTGTCCTGCATTGTAAACTGCACACAATCTACAGTGATGATTCTTAATTCATAACAAAAACTAATTACTACAAGTGAACCTAACTGCATCAAAAGTCATGCAATGTTACAACAAACCTTATTTAAACATACATTTTTAAACTGGAAAATTAGTCTTAGTACTTTAAAGTTACAGGGCTCTATGAGGCAAAGCACTCCAATCCCATTATGCTTGATGAGTTACATAATCAGATTACAAAGCCATAGAAAAAGGTTGATGTACAGATGTTGAGTTTATTTATAGAAACAACAATCTTAGTAAAATTTCATTTGCAGCACTTCATGGCCATGCACAGACACAACATAGCTTTTTGCCCATGAATTTATTTATTTTTTCCTGTTTGATCAATGAAGATTTCTTTGCTCAACCACGAGCGATTTATTTTTAACTAGGATATCTGCCTTTAAACAGTTTTCTATATACTGTCAGATATCAACCTCATCAAGAAATGCGATATTTTCTTATGTAACACAAGTGCTGTCCCCTTTAATGAAAATGCTGCAAATCACTCAAATAAATCTGGTGGTGTTGAGGCTATAAAGATGTGTGCATTAATTGTTTGCTTTTTTGCAGGGAGTGACTATTCCCAGTCAGAGGCGATATGTATACTACTATAGCTACCTTCTGAGGAATAAGCTGGAGTACAAACCTGTGGCCTTGCTCTTTCACAAGATGGTGTTTGAGACAGTGCCTATGTTCAGTGGAGGGACCTGCAGTAAGTGAACTATCTCTCTCTCTTCTCAATTTATTTTTTTGATACTGTTATTTTTGTTGTGTATTGTCCATGTTGAGTGAAGAGATTATAAATGCTCTGGTGAGAGAAGGTATTACTGTTTACACCTGGTATGAGCTTGCGTCTGTGCCAACAATGTTAACTACTTTTTCACCTAAATAGGTCATTTGGAGGCTAATTGGTTGTAGTTGTTTACAGTAAAAATAAATATTTGTACAGAACTATTTTTTTCTCAAGTTTTTTAGATATTTTCTGTTTAAATACTGTTTTTAAAAACACTGTGAGTGTAGCATTAGGTATATTAAAGTATCTTATTGGGTGCAACAGAACTGGCTCTTATGCTGCGTTCACACCAGACGCGAAACGCGCGTCAAGCGTGAGTGATTTACATGTTAAGTCAATGCAAACACGCGAATAGACATCCTGCAGCGTGATACGCACGAATGGCGCGGCGCGAATGACACAAATTGCATGAATGGCGCGGGGCGAATTGAGCATTTTTGCGCGTTTGTTGCGCTTAACGAGCGTTTCGCGCGAATCTCTATTTCGAAAATCTGAACTTTAGCGTACAATTGCGCCGCGTTTAACCAATCAGAAGCCTGCTCGTGTGGGGGCGTGATTGTGACGTAGAACCTGTTGTCGGTGTTCCGAGGGAAATCCTCCAGCCTTCACCGACAACAGTTCATCAAACTCGGCTTGGCTCAGTCAGAAGCACCGCTGAAAGCCTCTGTCATCCAGGTTAAGTTTATGAGTTTATGAGCTCACAGAGCTGGATGCACCTCTGAAAGAAGGTAGTGGACTCAGACACGACCCTAAACGTATCGACGCTGTTTTTCAGTCTTCATAAAGCACATAAACACTGTTATTTTCTTCATAAAATCCATGTTAGCCATTTAGCTATGAAGCTAGAGTCTTCGGGCAGACAGAAGCCCTGCCCATCACACGAATCCGTGTCTGTTCTGATATGAATTTGACACACGAATGAAGCGGGGTTTGACGCACGTATGAAGCGAGTAAACTCAAATGTTCACGCGGCTATTTATGCGCGAATATCGCGTTTTATCCGCGCATTCCGCATCTGGTGTGAACACAGCATTAGAAGCATTGTACAGAGACATGAGTTCAAACATCAACAAGTATGTTTTTGTTAATCAAATTCAACACTTCACATGCTTTGTTGCCTTACAGTTCATGTGCAATGAAAATTTGCAGTGTTGATTCTACTAGCGCACATTCTAATTCTTTTGGTCAACAATTAATCTGTGCAAGTTAATCCACTGAGAAAAAAATATTTCTTGGTAAATTTCAATCGAAGTCTGACTTTGTGTTTGGAGTGGTGGACTTTCTGTTGACATCGGGGTATGATGCACAAAAAGAATGCCTCACTCCTACTTTATTACGTTACAGCCAAAAGTAAATCAACATACTGAAATAAGTCTTAGCAACATCCAGTTCATGCTGACTTTTGACATTTGTAACAATATTTTATTTTGCATATTTGACTTGACAATTGAAGATCCCCAATATTAAAATACACAGCCATCTGGTATCTTTACCTGACCAATGCTGCATGTTTCTAATAAAAAAACCTAAAAGATGCTGCTTTTTTTTTATAGTAACAGTAGATGGGTTTCCATCACTCTGTTTATTCACATTTTTTAAGTATTGCATGAGAAACAAGTGATGGAAGCACCATGTTTTGAATAAAAATTCCTTAATTCACCAAATTTCCACCAATTAAGGTGGTTAAAGACCATGATATGCATGCCTTGTTTACTGTTGGTTACTAGGTTACTAATTCTACAGCCAGCCACTCTGGAAATTTCATGGAAACTACTTAATTTACATGTGACATTTTTTTTGTAACCTACAAGATTGGCTTCACATTACCATGAAAACCTGGCTTGTCAAACTACAATAATGCAGCTGTAAATTGCTAAATGGAAATGATTATTCATTAGATGTTTTCAGATATTAACATCATGGAGTTTTTAAACAGCTTGATTAAAATTTGCATTGTGAGAAACGCTTTTTAAATAAGCGACAGTCAGGATTTTAGAAATTATTCTAATACGCTATAAAATAAATATTTAGAAGCGCTAACTACGCACCAAAAAACAAACCAACGTTTTGGTCAACATTTTCTATTATTTTTGCCTGTATTTTACTGTTACACGCTTGTTCTTGTCATTTAATATAGTAATACCAGGTGTACACACATGCATCTTGCTCACCACTGTAACTGTGCCAAGTGACTGCTTTAACACATCACTGGCAGCTTTTTGTGGCTTTTCTTTCTGCTTCACATGCTGTAAATTCTGCTCTACAAGTTCAAACTACTTTTTTTCTATGCACCTACTCAAACTCAGTCCTAGCGGGTCGGTGTCCTGCAGAGTTTAGCAGCCAAGCCCAATTAGACACACCTGAGCTAGCTAATCAAGCTCTTACTAGGCATTCTATAAACTTCCAGGCAGGTATGTTAAGCTAAACTATGCAGGTCATCGGCCCCGCAGGACCAAGTTTGGGCATCCCTGATCTAATCTTCATCTAGTCGAACCCAATGTACTTCCTGGACTAGTATGTGTGATTTAGCTGTAACCTTGTCCTGTTAAAAAAACAAAAACAAAAAAAAGTGTCAGGAATGTAAAAGATTTGAGGCTTATCTGCTCCCAGAGGGCTGATTCTTTACCTGGAGTGTGAGTTCGTCCAGTGGCACTGTAGCACTGCATTCATGTCGCTGTTTCTGACTGTACCTCCTCCAGGCTCTTTTCTGAACTCTGGCCAAGCCTGTTGTACGCAGTCCAGACAGAATGGTGCACACAGTGCTAAAATTGAACATTCATTAAATGTTTAAGAAAAAAAGGGCATTTCCAAGTTTAAAATGGTGTTTATCACCCTGTAATAAAATAAACAATAAGACTGCAACATGGTTTAGCCTGATGATTGTCTGCTTCACATCATTTCCATCTCTGCTAGTGTTGCAAGTTTGATGCGCTTGTGTGCATTTGAAAATGTTAAATAATCAATTTTTAAACATCTTCCCAGATGTATAACTGGGATGGTTTCTAAATTCTTTAGTCACAAAAGTATTTCTAAAAAGGTTTCTTGAAGTTGACGCTAAAATAAAAGCTTCAAGGTTTAATGTCTGAAAGCAAACAAACATAAATATTGGTTTTGAAATTGTGCTGTTGCACCTAAATATTATAGAAGTGATTTTTTTTTTAACTGAATTAACAAAATTACTGAAATAATAAACAAGGGAAAAACACAAAAACAGATAGACCAATATAGGCAATTAGTTGTTTACCCAAATTTGTTCCGGCTGGTTTTGATTGGGGGGAAATATGTGCACAAACTTACATGGGGGGTGTGCTAATAACTTATTTAACTTAAAAGTAAAAATGTTAGTTTTAGGTCATGAACGCATCATAAAATAATGCTTGAGTGAACCTTCTATGTAAAATCTGTACTTTATCGTTCGTTTTATTTTTGTACTTCAATGTCTGTAATGTCCCGTGTGTGATTTTTAGAGTGTAACTTGTGGCTAAAGGGCTTCCCAATGGTGTTGCAGTTACGGCTTCCTTCATAGTGTGTTTGATGGCCATTAATATTTCAGTTCAGCTCTGTGTATGTGGTTGTGTTCTGTTTAAACCTTACTTCCCCTCATAGTGCTTCTGCTCTGGCCAGGCCACTGGACAGTCTTTAATCTCCTTCTTTTTCTCCAAGGGGATTCTGCTGTAAAAAGCAAGAGTGAGCAGATTCCACATGGGTTCAGAAAAACCAATTGGCATTGGGGTAACATCAGCTTTTTCTAAAATGTTTTTCACTTTCAGTTCTGTTAGATTAGTCAGTGTTGCTGTTTAGATTGTATTTGCCATGTACAAGTAAAATCCTCGAGTGCCACTTTTGGGTGGTCGTTTGTAATGCCCCATTCGAGGCAGGCGAGAAGAGTGGTCTTGGGTCAGCGGTCCACAGAATTAGGCTCTTCAGCATTTTAATGTTGTCTTTTCTGCATCAATATTTCATCTGTTTCCACCCACTTCTTTTTTCCCCCTCTATGCTTCTCTTTTGTTTCACATTAACAGTTATTCATAAGCTCACAGTTGTTTGTTGCACATAGCCGGAACAGCAATTACACATCACTTTATTTTGCAGATCCTCAGTTTGTGGTGTACCAGCTGAAGGTGAAAATTCACACCTCAAACCCAGCGCACACAAGAAGAGAGGAGAAGTACATGTTCTTCGAATTTCCTCAACCACTGCCTGTGTGTGGGGACATCAAGGTGGAGTTCTTCCACAAACAAAACAAGATGATGAAGAAGGTATGAGTTCGTTCTAAACAGCCTAGTGTGTACTTGCAGATCTTTATTGCTTTTCATTACAGCATCTTTTAGCTGTAATGCTAAGAGGGAGGACATTTAATTTTTCTTTAATCAGATTTATATCTATTTACTTATTATTTAGTATATATAACATTTTATTTTATATGATAGGTTTTTCATATTCAAATTAAATGATACAAAGGAAGTTTTAAATGCAATTTATTATTTAATTGAAGCTTGAAGCAAAGATAATTCATTTTTTTATCGCAAATGAATAAAAAATCTGGAATTAATGCCAAAACTGTGTTATATGGGGTTGGGTGTAGAGGTCTGCACAGGACTGGTTTTATTGTCCCACTCGCCACCAGGTTTTATTCTGCTCCTGATCGTTCCTGCTGTATATTCGGTCTTTGTTCTAGAGCTGCCTGTTTAGAATGTTTATTTTTTTATTTATTTATTTATTTTTTTTACCCGACCCAACTGTTTCCACAAAATTTAGATCTGGTTTTCAAAATCTCACATTCAAATTGTGGATTACCAAAAGAGAGAGATAACAGATAAAACTGTAGGTTGTGCAAGGATTGTAGGTTTTGTTTGCCCCTTTGCCGCATATGACAGTTGGAAGTAACATTCGCCGGCCGCACACATTCACATGTTGTTTAAAATTAAACTATTCAGATGGCACACTGTGGCATGGCAGAAATATGAACAGTGTCCTGAGTTGTAGACGGGCGCCATGGACAGCTGTTGACTTGCAGCGCTGGTGTGCGTATCCTAATAGAACTCTGTTTAAAATTCTGAAATGCATGGCACTACGTGGCGTACCGCATCCGGTGTGATCCCCTTGACTGCTGAAGTGTAAAATTTTGAGGTATTCTCATATCGCATTAAGGGTAATTATTTTTTTCATTTGCGTCTATGATACATGAAAAAAACTCCCATATATCAGACTTGCCTGATGTGGGTTTTCAGAACAGTAAACTGACCATTTTCTAAAGCAAGCTGAATGTCCTTTTTAGGACAGCACATTTTCACTTTGCTCTGCCACGGTAAAGCTCGGCCCAGAGGACCGCTATGCAGATGATGCGCACACACGGACTGCGAATAAAATGCATGTGCATAAAGCACTGGTCATGCTTTCATCATGTTTAACAGTCGTGAGCACTGGCCAAACTGGTGCTCAATAAAAATGAGGAAATCACAGATATGTTATTCCGAAATAATGTCAGGACTCAGGAGCACTATATTGTTAGACCTCCTGCTCCCGTTCAAATTGCACGCAAGTTTACGACCGCTGCCGTGACTTTACAGACTTCTAGTTGGGTGGTATATTACTATTATGTATCGACTAAATGCTTTGAACTCAGTGGACATCAACCACACACTGTCTGAGGGTTATTTATTCTAGAATGTGTCCTATTATGATATTTGCAATTTCAACTTTCTTGCATAACGTATAATTTTGCTGATCAAGCATTACAAATATTAAAAGCAAAGTCACTCCAAATGTATTTTTCTCTCATTAAGCACCATTTCTGAACTTCCTTAGGTGCCTCATTTGTAGTCCTTGTAGCTTCCTTTTAGGAACTTCTACTGTTTCAAAGAACTAATATACGGACATATACAGTATGTAAAAACTTCCCTAAATGTTTACATTCAGTGACATGACCAAAATATTGGGACTGTTTGTCTGTTGTGTGTGTTTTACAAAATCTTGTATTCAAATACTCAAACGACAGGCTGGCTTTTTGTTCAAATATGGTTTGTTTACTCTGAAAACTTGGGATGCACTGAAATGAAAATTCTGGATGTATTTGGCCGAAAACTGAAACTGCTTTGTTGTAATTGTGAATCATTTTACAAAAAATATAAAGTAATTTTACAAGACTTTATAAACTCAAACCTTTCAATTTTACTGATTAGAAAAAGATTTTGTTATCAGTGAAGGATTCAAGAAAAGTATATATTTTTTTCACTGTTGCCAGGACAGCACAGTTACACTTGCAAGCAGCAGAAGCTAATATACTATCTAGAAAGATCCTGCATATGCCCTTACTTTCCATGCTATTAAAATGAATGGGTTTCATAGTGCAGCTGTTTCTGTGTCTGGTGTGAAAGCTGCTACAGGCTGTGCAGTAACTATGGCTGGAGGGAAAGTAAAACCAGTATACTGAACTCTGCTGGGCAGTGTGATAAAGGACGGCCTTTTTTCAGCTAATATTTTAGCCAATTTTGTCAGCATAAAATTTGAAGCATTCCTACTGAAAGAAATCCACCAGGAGTTTAACCTAACAAGGCTTAAAATTGCAGGTTTTCAGTTAATTTTTTACTTTTGTTACCAAAACACAAGCTATAAAAGCTCTGCCATCTTGAAAGGTGGTGGGGAGGTATAGCTCACTTGCATTTAAAGTAACGAGCTTAGCTGTTGCTTCCACCCAAATAAGAGGCATTTATGTCAAGGTACATGATTCATGAGTAGTTTTTGTTTTCTATATACATCTGAGATATCTTTAATTGTTTGCACATGATAGTATACATACCTCCGTGTACTTGTATCACTAAACATCTCAATAATAGCTGTTGTTGACTTCTTTTGTTTGTTTTTAAAGGAGAAAATGTTCCACTTCTGGGTGAACACCTTTTTCATCCCTGGGTCAGAGGAGAGCACAGAGAAAGTGGAAAATGGAGGTTTAGTGAAGGACCTGGATGGAATACAAACAGCAGAGAGAGGAGAGAATGACAAAGACTATTTAATTCTTACTTTAAGTAAGACGGATTTGGATAAAGCGAACAAGGATAAAGCCAACAGATACTTCTCTCCCAATTTTAAAGTAAGTAGGCAATGGGATGATATCCGTTTTCAATGTGCTACTGTCCCTAAGGAATATGTAACAATTGTAAAAACATGTTTTTTAAGACAACAGTATCTTCAGCAGAAACAATATCCAAAGACGCCATATAAAATTGTAAAGAAATCTGTGTTTTTGAAACTAATGAAGACAGCAGAAGTCTTTAGCTATGTTTCCATCCAATTATTTTTATGCACATTTTGCCTATGCGCATAAAAAACGGTTGATGGAAACGCCATGATGCACATAAATTTTGAAAATGCGCATAAAAAAAGTATAAACTACCATGAAAACACTTTTACCGAGCAAATTTCAGTATGTGCATTAAAAAAAGGTCATGGGATTTTGTGATGAGAGATCATGTGATGATGAAAATGTGTGTGAATGGACAAACCAGTTGCCTGAGCACATTGTAAAACATCTGACACGTTGTTTTGTTCATTCTAAAATGCCTTACTGTTTAAGTATTAGTGTTATTATATTATTAATGACCTCCAGAATCGTCAGAGCGTCAGGATTGCTTTTTGAGGCGCAAGTCATTTATTAGATGAAGAAAAGATTCACGCAGCTTCTCCTACTGCAGCAAATTCAGTTTTTACTGTTGATATTTGGCGCCAGTTAATCAGCAAGTGACGATTTTGTTTGCTTTGACTCGTTGGATGGAAACACTGCTTTATTCACACGTCTTTTATGTGGTAATCCAGTTTTGTGCATAGGTCACCCGCATTTTTGAATGGAACCATATCTAATCATTGATTTGAATTATTTAGCCTGACTTGTTTAGCTACTGTTCCAAAATCTTTTAAATGTTTTTTAAAATAAAATATATTGTGCTCAAAGGGGACATTTTTGTTTTGTTTTTATCCAAACATTTAAAAAGAACTGTCAAACAGATTTTTTTTTTTAATCCAAGATTATCATAGTGTCAGAATCTTATACTGGCCCATGCTTAATGTAAAGCACATTCAGATGTGTGTTTAACTGTGCTAAAAGACTCATCCAGTTCAAATCTCCAAATATACTGCTGTTCATTTGGATTAAAATGTGCTCTGTTTTTCTTTTAGGTTAAAATGTTTTTTACGAAAACAGTGGAGGAACCATCCAACTCAGAGGCCAGCACTTCTACTTCTGTAACCCCGGATGTTAGCGATAATGAACCGGACCATTATCGTTATTCGGACACAACAGACTCAGACCCTGAAAATGAACAGTACGATGAAGAACAGATTACTAAAGTTTGAAATATTTTTATGGGAAGAAAAAAGTAAACATGCGTAACAGAGTTGTATAAAGGAGAAAACTTGAATATGAACTCAAAGCAAGTACTTTTTTTTTTTTTTTTTTCACCCCTGTTATTTCTTTCTTTATTTTTTTCCAACCTCCCCTCAATGCAGAACTAGAACACATCACAAATGCCACCAGTTTACGGACAAAAATGCTGACTTGTTTTGGTTCATTCCCCCCCTCCCTCTCCATGAAGTATCGACACTGATGTTCCTTGAGAAAACAGCGTCAGTAGCTATTATGTAAATACATGTTCACGGCGTAACACAAAAAAGGAAGCCTAGTGAGGATGGGAGATTGTTTATGGGAGAAATCGAGTGAAGATCGAAATTTGCTGCTCCATCAACCTGTTTGAACCGAGGCCAGTGCTTTAATCAGCGTTCATTCCCCATGTCTGTTCTTCTCTAGTCTCTACCTACTGTGAAACTCTCCTCATGCTGCTGGAAGGCCACCATGTGTCAGTCGGGCACTGGAAACTGCACCTTTCACCTTTTGTTTTTAATTCTGCTTTCATCATTATTACCACTGCTAGTGTGGAGGTGATAATGCTTCCTCTAAATCCATGACTTCATGGCAGAAATCGCTCCACCGTGTATTCTTACTTTTTTATGCAAATATACACTCAACAGGGAAACCCGTGTTGCAATAATGTTGATCGTGTGCATGTTATTGGAATCCGTTTCCATGTTGTCCAATAAATAGTATACATTGTTTTTCTTAAAAGAGGTTTCTAAAGTCTTTTACAATTCGGGTTTGGGAAGAAAACAAATTGGTGTCACTTTTTCTTCTGCAGATGGGATTTTAATCTCTAAACATACCCCTGAGTGGCTCTTCATTTTTTAAAATTCCTGTTTCCCCTATAAAAATATTCATGGTTTGAGCTCTCAGTAGTGTCATAAAATCATAAAAGGATTATTTTATGGGACACTGATCAATGCGAGGGCTCCACATGGCCACGGTTCACAGGTCAGATCAGGTGTACAGCATTTTACTGCATGTAAACATGGAGAAAAGCCCTTTTCTGAATGTATCAACCTTGGATGCAAGTTTCAGTTTGATTTGAGCGACATTCACATGGTTTTTCCCTTCTTCCCGGCTGCGTTAGACATCAGATCTTTGGCTTCCCTATAACATCTTTGTAGCCTTATTGTGCATGATCGAATCAAATCTGGATCATTTGTCCAGCAATGGTGCTTGCACACTCACGGTGTAGAGAACAGTCAAACAACCTTATGGTGCAAGCGTTCAATCGTGCTGCAGTGCGCGTCCTTACTGTTGGAAGCAGTTAAACCAACAATCCGGTGTCTATCACTCGCTGGAGTTCATTTTTAGATGCTTTTTTTTCCTTGTTCTTGAACAGTCTTCATTCCCTTTGGAATGAGCATAGTGCAGCTACGGATTTTACACAAAGTCTTGTGCTTGCTTCAGAAATATTAAAGCCCTATATATGAGAATATTTAAATGTATAATTTTCTTTTAAGCATGCCAAATCTTTTTTAACACCTGGCTTACGTGGTCAGAGCAAAAAACAAAAAATACAAAAAAAAAAAAAAAACTTTCTCAGTCTCTTGGGCAAGAATCTTCACTGAGGGTAGTGAGTAAGCTGCCTTTCTCGTACTGTTAACATTCAGGCTTCACTCTGTTCACCAGCCCACTGCACCGTACATCTCGCCTTCCTTTCGAGAAAACAAACGCGTTTCCCTGACATGAGGAGGAGACTCAGCCTTCCTTCTTGAGATTGTACACTAACCAATCCAGGAACAAAAGCAAGCCTATTATGGATTCTCATATTTTGTTTACATTTTATCACATCACTGAAAACCTGCCAAAATTAAGCTTGATTTAGATTTTTTATTAACTTTGTGTTGAGAGGAGGAGGCAGGGCCCACGGGAGGTATTCTTCGCCTTACTTGAAGTTGACAATGCTTACTCTTCTACTGCTTTCATACCTACCATTCTGCCCAAGCACTGACTTATTTAAAGCTACTATAATAGAGCAACATATTGTACTAGACATTTGCACTGTTACAGGTCTTTGCAGGGTTTCAGTCAGTGGTCCACAGTATTTTTTTTTTTCTTTTCTTTTTGCTTTTGTTCCCCCCCCCCCCTCTCTCTCTGTAAATGCTTTTACAGCAATCAATGTAGGAGAATATAGGTGAAATGAAAATACATTAATATTATCTGTGCATCCTAATAGAATCAAATATGTTTTTATAGACTGAATATTTTGTTTTTGTTTCTTTTTTAAGAAAACACAAAATAGAAAAAAAAAAGAATAAAGCGACTATTTATGAAAGTATTCGTTCACATTCTGGCCCTCTGCTACTCCTAAATGTACGATGATTTCTTTTGGATGCTTAGCGGTTTAATGCGTGACTATATTTAAAGGGATTGTTCACCCACAACGTTATTTACTCACCTTTTATATCATCTTAACATGATATTTAAACCGTTTTGTCAATAGCGTCCAAAAATGCACTTTGTTGTTGGACCTTATTGACTTTTATTCTACTTTAGTTTGTCATTTACACATACAGATTCAGAATGACGTAAGGGTGAGTACATGACCGAATGTTCTTCTCTTTTTAACCCCCAAACCAATTGACAATTTAGCCACAGTACCTTTAAATGCAAACCCTCAGACGTCCCGTCCGTGGCATGGCTGTGTGGAGCTCACAGGCAGCATGAAAAATAAATTTTCAGCTTTAATGAAAAACAAAACGTCTTCAAAGGTGCCAGTGTGTATATGTCTCACGTCACTCTTTCTTAGCTGATTTGTGCAATATGTTGTTTATGATGCCTGTGGTTGCCACAAAGTGCCTCTCGTTTACAGTTGAAGAGAAAGTACTGGCTTTAAAAACTGTCGCAGGACGTCTTGTCACGCGTGCGGATGGATGGATGGGGTGGTACTGTGCACTAAATCGTCCCGCTAGACTTGAAAGAAGGGGGCCCTTTGGACGTCAGCCATGCTTCATTAGAAACCATTCTCTTCCCCAGAGGGTTTTCTTTTACGTTCACATAATATAAACACGGTTTATCTTTGGTCTCTTAAGAAAACAGCCTTACTCTGTTTCAGCCTGTTCAGATACTATTGTGCTGTGCAACAGTTGCTCTGTGTGTAATGCCTATGCACTGAGAATACACAAACCAACCATGTATGAAATATTGTACAGGTAATCATGTTGCTCATACAAATCACATGTTTGTTTGTAATTGTATGTGTAAACTGCCCTTTATCTTAGTGTTATAAACTCCACATAAAATCCAATAAAGTCTCATTCTTGTCAGTGTTTGACAGCATTTAACTTGTGCAGTTTGCTGTATTTGTTTCATCTTTTAAAGGGATGGTTCCACCAAATATTCAAATGTGCTCACCATCATGTGGTTGCAAACTTTTATTATTGTTCTTTATTCTGTTGAACACTATAAAGACCAGGGTTGGGCAAAAATACATTGAAATATTAATTTTAAAAAAATCTTTATTTTAGCTGTATCAAAATAAGCAGTCTCAACGTGTATCAAATTAAAGTACAGTATTTTGGATTAAAAAAAATATATACTACCAAACACTTTTACAAAGCAGCATGACACAAATCTTCCATCAATCCCTTCCCCATTAAACTGTCCTGAAGTAAACAATGTTTGATGGCAAATATGGCCAGTAAAATTGCCATCATCTCTGTACATTGATTATTCAACCTCTTGATATTTAAAAGGGTGTTAAAGAGTAAAATTTTTGTTCACAAAAATTTTTTTTTTTGAATTTCTTTTGCTGCTATTGAACTCAATACTTAATGTGAAAACTGTATTAGGACTTTTTGAGGATTAAATATTTGTTTTGTATGTTGCAACATCTTAAGGCTTACATCTTTCCTCTTCATTACTATACAGTGGATGTGCTAAACAACTACTGGCATTTAAAACATGACGAGGTATTGTAGGAATCGCCACTGTAAGACTTATTGGTAACGCTTTATAATAAATACACACTACGAATCATTTATTAAGCATTAGCAAGTAGTTAATTTATTATTTATGTATTAACTCTACATTAATAGACATTAGTAAGAAGTTAATAAATACAGCTAAATGCTGTATTCTTGAATTACACGCACATTATAATGTGCTTAATTGCTGTTTTCATACTTTGTTAATGATTATTGTTTCATTACTTGAGTATTGCATTAGTTACAAACCAGTTGTTTAAGAACAGCTGGTGCTATTTTAAGATCATTCAGAATGCATAAGTAAATGATTAATAAGCTATTGATATTAGCATGAATACATCTTATTCAGGCATATACTAATAGTTAATTTGTATGGTAATAAATGCTTTAATTACTCAACTTCATGCAGTTTTGTGACCTAATCTAGTGCGGACTATTTATGCTTTATAAATCCCTTATGAATTACAATTAAAGGCTCAGTTAAATTCTAAACCGAAAAAAAAAAACACAACTATTAATATCTATTCATTTGAAGATACACAAATGAAACGGTATCTAATGAAAAATAAACCTTTGCAATCTTATCTAAAATAAAATTACAGTACAGTTTAAACATCACTAAATTACTTCATGATATATTGTTAAATTAACATGTTGTTTTATCCATTTTTTGTTTAAGTGTGTTTATTTCTAATTGTATTTTGAGACTCCTGTTATTCGGCAATGTTTAAAGTTTTTTTTTTTTTAGATAAGATTCCAAAGATTTGTTCATTTAATATTAAGCCTTTAAATGTCATTTATAAGGGATTTACAAAGCATAAATAGTCCTCACTTTAGATTAGGTCACAAAACGGCATGAAGTTGAGTTAATAAGGCATTTATTAACATGCATATTAACCATTACTATACGCCTCAATAGTAGGAATTATAAAAGGTTGATTTGAATACTTAATCATCTAAATCATTCCGAATGATTCTAAAAGCCACCAACTACTCTTAAATGCAAATGGTTTGTTGTTAATGCAATAATGAATTTAGTAATAAACAGTTATTAAGTAATGAAGTAAAAAACATACTATTAAGCATGTTATAAATGTGCTTATAAGTCAAGAATAGAGCATTTGTAGCTGCAGTTATTATATATTGCTTACGTCAATTAATGTAGTGTTAATGCTTAACAGATAATGAATTCACTATTTGCTAATGCTTAATAGATTCAAAGTGGGTAGTTATTATAAAGTGTTAGTGACATTTTTATGTTGTTTGATTTAACAACAAACATTTGGCATCAGCAATCCACCCAAAACTACTTTGTACAGAATACTCTTTCTCCTTAGATTTTTAGACCAATCACAGAGTGCATTTATATGATGTCTTGATGTAGAAGTATTTTTAAAAAATACAAGAAACTAAAATATTCTGATACAAAATATTAACCTATTTTATAAACCCCATCAAATACAAATAACAAAATACAATTTTGTATTTGAATTATATACTTGAAATACATGTTTTATAAATACTTCCCATCTCTGATAAAGCCATTGACTACCATAGTATTTTTTTTTCTACTGTGGATGTCAATTTCTTCACTACATTTTTTTTTTGTGTTCAACAAGAATAAGTCAAACAGGTTTAGAACAAATAAAGGTTGAATGGATATAAGAATTTTCAGTTTTTGATTGAACTATACCTTTAAGCGAAGTTTCAGGTTGTTTAGGAAATCAGATTCTTTTTTATTGTCGTTGACCTAAAACACAATGTTCACCTCGTCTT